GACGGGCGAAGATTTACGTGCAACCTTGGAAGAAGCTATTCGACCATTTCTTTCTCATGACTCCGTGAAAAAGCTGGCCCCAGCGGGCTCATCACAGAGAAATGAAAGTGTAAACAGTTCCATTGGCTCGAAAGCGCCGAAAATAAGACATTATGGAGGCTCGCAAAGCAGCGACTTTAGAACCGCTGCAGGAATAGCTCAGTTTAACAAAGGGAACAGATATCTGACATTAGCCACGGAAAAAATGGGTCTGGCACAGACGCATATCACAGAACAGAACACCGACAAAATTGACAAGAAAAGGAAAAGGGATGGCGAGCGAAAGTCAACAAAAGAGTTCAAAAAAGCGAGAAGAAACTCTCGAAAGAAAAAGAATCAAAAGACCAATTCTGCTGAGAAACGCGAGTCAGCAACGTACGAGACAGGGATCGGCTGGCAACAGAGCGACAAAGAGAAAGCCGCCATCACGAATGCAACCATGAACGATCTAAAGGCATGTCTGACAAAGGAGGAGTTTAATGATTATACCGATGATCTCCCAAAATCCAACGAAGGGAACAGCCAGGAAGTCTCCGAGTTACCTGTAATCCAACAACGTTCACGTTTTCTTCATTTGGCCCTCGACATAGAAACAACAGGTCTAGACCGGAAATCGGATATTCTGCAGATTTCATGCATTCCACCAAATGCTGAAACCAAATCATTTTCGGTAAACCTTTTTCCAGAAAATCGAATTATTGGCCAGTCAGCGACGCAAGTCCACGGTATAAGTGTAGAGTTTTGTAAGGGCAGAAAAACATTATTGAGAAGAGGGAAAGAACTGGAGGCCGTATCGCAAACTCAGGGTCTCAGTGATTTTTGCAGTTTCCTAAAACAGCAGTCCCGTTCCTTCCAAGTTGTCCTTATTGCACACAATGGTGAAAAGTTTGACTTCCCAGTTCTGATCAATGCTCTGAGAAGGAACAATCTCCTTGAATTGTTCCTGGCTACTGGTGTTGTCCTTGTGGACTCTCTAAAGATTGTTTCGACAGAAATGAAGCAGAAAGGTAGCCCTTTGTATTCCTGCAAGAGCAAATCTTTGTCCGACGTTTACGAAGTTTTACTGAAAGAAAAGTTTGATGCACATGATGCACAAGAAGATGCTACCGCCTTGTCGCGTATTTTATTTCAGTCCCCTCTGCAAGTATCTGTTGAAAGAATTCAGACGCACGCAGTTCCTGCAGAACTGTTCGTAAAAAAAATGAACTCAGCACAAGAGGCAAAATCCCGAAAGTCCACGCTGCATCGCCTCCCGGTCTCCGAAGGAATGAAGGAGAAAATGGGAAAGGCCGGGCTTGACTACGAAACAATGCAGGGTGTTTACAAGAAAGGTGGAACGAAAGCTCTGTTAGCGGTGCTAGCTCTTCCAGAGTCCTTTGAGCAAATTCAAGAAAAGCGGAGTAAGCCAAGGGTGACGAAAAACCTAAACATACTCACAGCAGTGGTTAACTATTTTGTACGAATGCAATCTTAGATTAAGGTTTTCATTGATGAATGATATCGATGTTTTCATTTACCGGCGGGAATGTCTTGGTGATTATGATTTAAAAGCAAGAAAAAGAAAGCTCGTCAAAGTTTGTTACAGACAACTTACAGGATAATACTGTCGCAAATGCCGAACCAAACCCCCTTGTTGTATATTTTTTATTTTGCTAAGATTATGTTGGCTATTAGTATTTTTTTTCTAAGGAGACATTAGATAATTATAGTTTTGTTTAGAGATGTAATATCTCAGTGGTGAATGTTATTATCATTAGTTGGCAGCAATGCCTCTCCTTGCAGTTTCAGGTGATCGATGTAAAAATTAGAAAAAAAGAAAGAATATCAGAGTTTGTTCAGAAAATTGTTTATTGACTTTTATCTTCCCGATTCACGTTTGTTAAAGTTATAATATTTATTTAAGAATAATCGCTTATATAAATACATATATGATTCTGTATATTATAATTGTTAAACAATAATACTTGGTAATTAAATGAACATTTCAGATAAGACATGTAATACAAATTTAAATAAAAGGAAACGCGACTATGGCACGGTGAGAAAATAAATAAACAAAATATATGGCTTTTTTTCCTCGTCTGTCCTCGTCTGTGAATGATTTTCTAGCTCCGAGACAACTGTTAATTGTTTTCACGAGCTCCGTGGAGCTTTCTTTGCGAGTGCTCGGTCAGTTGGTTTTTCTGCAGAGCAACAGTTTTCCGTTTCCTTGTCAGAGATACCCTCGGCATTGCTGCATTACAGCATAATTGCGTGACAAATGCCTTTAAAAATCAGCTCATTAAAATTTCAGTTTATATTAACATGTTTCGGAAAAAATCTCCGAATGCAGTCGAACTTTCTAATTGATGCAAATTCATTTTTTGCTGAAGTTGTGCACGCGGATATGAGAATTTAAAACAATGCCTGTGAATAATGAGGTCGCTCACTTGTAAACACGATATGGGGGATAACAAATTAGTACTTTTGAGGCCCAATTTTATTAACTTCCACATTTTCAATAACCTTGAAAACTGCAGGCCGTATACAATGAAAATACAACTTAGCAATGACGATTTTTTAAAAAAATCTATCGAGCAGTTTTTAAAATATTACAATATTTGTTGGCATAGACCAAATTATACGCAAAAATGACAACAAGAGCATCTGAATGCAAAGGCATCAAACCCTTTTTTCTCACAATCGGTAAGAGCAATCTCGCCAACTTTTTACATACAATTTGAAGTGGAATAAAGCAACTACGTGGTATAGCGGCATTCCCAAGGCGCATCGTTTTCTTTAGATATCACCAAATTATCTCGACAACAAT